AGGTGAGTAAGGCGGGTTGTCACGCAGTTCAAACCTTAATTCGTAGATTTTCGCCATGGCAACCGCTGTGGTGTGAGACGATGCGGTATCTTGGTGAAACAGGATTTTTTTTAGTCTCAAAGTGTTAACTTTTTGCTAAAAAAAATCACTGTTTGTAAAAAGAGCAGTATATTTTGACATAACCTTGTTTGAATCTCTCTTTACTAATCATAAATGTATTAATATAATACGTGATGAATGTTATATTCGCCAAACTAGTGAATTAAAGTTGTAACCAGCCATACCTATGAGATTCGGTACTTTTGTACTGATATACTGTTTATACTGATATACTGTCTATACTGTAATACTGTAACTCAATGTCTGGGAAACCCTCTAGTGTCCCTGACTTGTTTGATTTCATTTTGTGGAAAAACATACAAATGCAGGCCCATGTAAATAATTTCGTATATTGCTTTTGTTCATTTGTTGTTGAAACGAACATTTGTTATTATTATTAACACCATGACTATCCCAAAAAACATCACTTTTCCTGCCAAAATAACAGTTTTTGCTTTTTTGGAGCTGGTTCCCCCTTCACAGTCCACTGTTTGGACTGTATATTTTTGTTTCGGGCGTAAAATAGCATATCCAAGTTTCATCTACAGTAATTGGTCGGCGCCAAAACTCGGATTAATTGCGCCTAAACTGCGCCAACAGAATTTATTCGAACACGTTTTTAGTCGAACGTGGGCAAACGCGGCATCCATGCCTAAATGTTGATTTCATATATGACAAACACGTTCTCTTGACATATTCATAACCTCTGCCATCTCCCTCATTTAAATTCGGCGGTCGTGTAGCACCATTTGGCGAATTTGGACGATGTTTTCATCGATAGTTGCAGTTTTTAGACGTCCCGAACTTTCATCGTCTCAGCTGCCCAAAATTTCACTGTGATAAATGCTGATGCAGAGTTCTCATACACAGAATCCAACTCGTCTTTGATGTGCGTAGGAGTGTTGCCTTTCGAAAACAAATATTTAATGACAGTTTGATACTCGATTTTGTCATTTTCATAAAGACACTCATATCAACTCATACTGCGCGTCCAAAATGGCTGAAACTTCTGTGAGTAACTGTCAAGAGATGAACAACGAAATTCAGTATGTTTTTTAGGAGTACTACTTTCTTCACGTTGCGGTTTAAAACTTTTCAGGCCGCCCCCGTAGCATTAGATAATTGTTGTCTGGGCCAAACCTTACTTATCCAAATTGAATAATGCTTATGTGGATATGTCCATGTTTACTTACACTCATGCTTGTCTTTAAGAACGGTTGAATCTACATGAGTTTTGCCAGAATTGGAAGACAGATTTTGATAGTTGTTTTTGTTGTATTAGATGTCCAACCATTTTTAACACGCTTTTATTAACTTCACCTGTATGTATGTATGTTTGTTTGTCAGTTTGTTTGTTTTTTGTAACTCCTTTTCATTTCATATTTATTCCCGTTTAAATGCTGGGGATCTGTATTTGACAGAATTATCGACATTATTGCTTGATCTATTCGCGGGTACATGTATTTCTTTATAAGAAAAAAGTATTTTTTTATTATTGATCCCAAAGTTCAGATAAAATAAACATAGTTTAAAAAGACTAAATAACACGCTTTTATAGCATACTAAACTAAAGAAATGAAAAATAAATGTAGTTTAAAACACTAAAAAACACGCTTTCAAACTAAAAAGTTTAAAAGCGTGTTTTTTAGTTTTTTAAACTAGATTTATTTTTTTCTGAATTACTTTTTCCGACGATTTGTAGACTTTATCGATTACTTTTGGAAAGTACTTTTTCTGTAAAGTAGGAAACAATGTTGAATAAGATGAGGAGTCAGAATTGGCGAAGGTGAAACACTTGGAACAAACAAAAAATAACCAATTTAATCTAGAAACTAATTTCAAATGGATGATTGCCATTGATTTTTCGGTACTTTGAATTTGCAGACCAATTTTTCAACCCTTTAAATCCCCGTTTCTTTTCACCGCTCAAATTTAAGTATTCCACAAATCCCCAGAATTACTAGATTGGCGAAAACAAACTCAGAGAGAGTTTGCGATAAAATTCGATTTCAATTCCGGTTGATTGAAGCATCTCATCTCTCGCAGAAGATAACACTACAAAGGAGGGGGGTGAAAGGTAGGCCACATGAAGGGCTCAAGAGATGAAGGCAATTCCATCCACCGCAATTTGAAGTAATATTCACGTCAACGTAACGTTTCATCCCGATATTTTTCCAATCAGACTTCCAAGGAAATGAGAAAAACCCCCCCGACCATTTCAATTTGATCTTTTATTGAATTCTAATCTCGAGGATGACAGTTTCGTCTTGAATGTGGGTTGGAGGAAGTCGAAAATGATCTCCAGCCCAACTTCACACCGATTATGAATAAGGAAAGGACGAATGTGGCGCATGCTCCTTGATCCAGGACACAGGCTTCCCAAATTGGCAGGATATTCGTGTTTTTCTTTGTTATTTCATACCTAGGAGAAGGAATTCCATGAGAGTTCGTTGGCGAGATTTCAATTTTAGATTTTTGGCAAAGAAGGAATTTAGGGGCGGTTTTTGGAGCTGATACAGCTGAATCGTATTCTCTGGAGATTTGTATCGTATGAGGGATGAACCGCATTAATAATCCAGTGGCAGTAATGAAAATATACAGAAATATATATACAGCCTATTTAGGAAACCTGAAATAAATTCGCCATTATTACACAAGTTTCCCAGCCTTCTAGAAGAGAAATTCCTCAAAATGGCATCGATAGAGTCTCTAAAAGTAACGAACGATCCATCGAACAATCTTGCACGTTCTCGCAGTAAACGCGCTCACCGCAGTAGCAGACGAAATTCTGAGAAATGAAACTTTACTACGACGCAAATTTGACAGAGACACACTGAATTTTCACTAATACTCTAAATTGAATATGTGATCTGTGTTTCTTGTAACGAACTAGGCCATCGCGTTTGCTTTGTCCAATATATTTTGAAGGCAAACTCAACAAATCAACCGCAGAATTACCGCTGTTTGTGTTTTTGTGATAACAGAAAGTTTTAAAAGACACGAGTTTTTCAAATATTCGCCAGGTATACACAGTAGTTAATATGAAATGGCTATTTTTTTTTCGTGACTAATTCATCTAGTGCATTGGGAAAATTCCAATCGCTTTCAGATAGAATATTAATGAGAATTTTCTATATGAAGGTAACTGATCTCATTGAATGGGTTAATTATTATAAAAAATAGATTTAGAGAGTCCTTGTAAGTCTTCAACTTCCAGAGAGAACAGAATCGAAAGTTTTTTCGTGTGAAAAATACAAAGTATTGAATGGAATGAGTCTTTTTTTACTAGTAACATCTTGAGTGAATACTAATATCACATTATCCAATGAAAAATCATGTGAAAAAGACAAGTTTATCAGTGAATTAGGAATTGGTGGAACGGGGATGAGTAATATACAAAAAGCAAACGAAATTCAATGTGGATAAATGCGTGTGCAATTAAAGACACCAGATAACTGATGTCTCAATCAAAATCTAAAGAGTTGAAAAATCAAAGGTACTGTTTATGTATTAACTATACGAAGTATACCAAATTCATTACAAAACAAGGCACTCTTAGTTGCTTTCTTCGAATATGGGAATTTGAAGGAATTGACTTGTGCTTTCTGAATTCTCTGTAATCAAATAAATATTATTTTTCAAGGTTCAAATGCAGATGACAAAGTTCAATTTATCCAAAAAATAATGTGCTTGTCAGAAGATTAAAAGTTTGAACCAGAAAAGAAACTCTTACTGAAAGATTTATATTGTCAAACTGAACTCAATGTTTTGTAATTACCCGGTCACTCTGGATACTTAACTGTTCAACTTCAAGTTAGCATTGATGTTATTGAAGTTGTATTGATGAATTTCGTAATTATTTCTAATCATTTACAATTGACATTCATATTTATGTTCTTTCTGTTGAACGAAATCCAAACAGATCTTAAAACTATTCAAAATCTTTTAATTTCTTATGAGGTCTAAAAAATTTTATAGATATTTTATCGATACTATTTATAGAGTTAACCATAATCAAACAAGAAGTCAATTTTTCAATGAATAAACAATTAAATACTAATTGCCACTTGCTTTGTAAAAACTAACCTTCTAGTAATCCCAGCAAAAATAACAATAACATTCAGTGTTATCATACAGTTAACATTTTAAAAACCAACCATTACGTTGCCGAAATGTTTACCAGGAAAGAAATTGTTTTTCAACATGAGAACTCGTGAGAAACCAATCCCACTTCAATCAATGTTAACATCTTCAAAACTAATAATACTAACTCACTTTATACGTCCTGTCCGACAAAAATAATCTCATTTTTAGCGGTGAAATTAGAAAATTAACCAGAATCAAATGAAATCCTGGGTTATTTTTTCGGTTTCAAATATTAACTATATTTCTAGTTCGTAATTTTAGCGGCAACCGCAAAAAAATGTAAGATACTTCACTTCTTCATGAACTTTATAAGAATCTAACAGTTCCGCGAAAATTTCAAACTACAATTTGGCAGTATTGGCTTCTTTACCGATTATAAAAGTATATCTGTTCTCAAACAAAAATTTACATTTCCCTCTCTTTATTTTAACAGCTTTTGTTTGCGAAACCCTGAAAAGTTTGAATTATTATTTAAAGAACCTCTCTTGTATAATGAAGCCTCCGAGGAATGACATCCCTCAATAACATTGAGGGATGTCATCATAATCTTTCCGCGATGTTTTCCAAAATAAAAAATGGATCGGGGATCATACGAAAATCCGCAGTAAACCAATTGCACTTGAATCATTCATTAACATCTCCAAGAACTCACTGTTTCCCGCCCCCTGGGGCCAAAAACAACCACTGCCACTGACCAAAAATTTTCCAAACCATACTCCTGCGAATCCGGCGAGACAAAAGAAAATCCCACTGACCATGTGTAAATAAAAAAATGTTTGCACACACACACCACTATCACGCACGTTGAAATCAACTGAAGTCTCGTATTTTTCGAGCTTTCGTGGTCGTGCCGCGCTCCACATCTGTCGTGCTTTCCGGCCAATGGCAAAGCTCGTCCGAACGCTGCCGAGGATCAACGATCGGCGCGAAGGGCGTACGCGGATCGCGAAAGCTGTTTTTCTCAATTTCCCACTCGCGTCTTCGATCTGGCGAGAGAGCAGATTTGACGGGCGTCCTAGTAGGGGATGATCGGAGCTTTCGTGAGATTTGGGTCCGCTCGGCGGTTGTTTGGATGCTCGATCGCTCTTGAGGTGTTGCTGTCGACATCATTTCTGGTTTCCGTCCAGCATACTTTGAAAATATCAGAACAATTTACGATAGAGATAAAATTTTGCAAGGTCAAATCAAATAATCGACTACGTATAAGCATGTGCATGTGCATTATGCTTTTTGACAAACGTGTTCAAATTTGCACTGTAAACAGAAAACATAAAGCATCCCCGTATACAACTTATAATATCAAATTGATGATGAAAACCCGTGAAAGAGCTTATGCCAAATATCTTAAAGAAAAGACAGCAGCAGCTAGACAGTACTATGATAACCTTACGCAACTACGTCATTGACGCAGTAAAACGTGAAAAAACAGTACATATACAATTCGTTTTCAACAAAAATAAAAACAATTCAAGAATGACATGTAGAAATCTTGCAGATTGGGGTGTTACTACAAAATCATCCTCGCACACCAATAGCCTGCCAATTGAACTACGTAGACCTGAAGAAATCAATGACTATTTTTAAACGTGGCTGGACATTCAATAGTAAATAATGACACTCTTTCATTATCTACAATAATAATAAATTGAACGCTCCTATGAACTTTTCCCTCGCCGATATATGTGATGATGATATTTTAACTGCTAGGTATGAAAGAAATCAATTCTAATGCTTTAGGTATTGACAATATTAAATATCAAGATGATATTTAATATTGTCTATAATATTAATATAGACTATTTTTCTCAAAGACAAATAGTAGAAACTAAGTGCAACTTTAGGCTCACTCTCGATAACGCAGACATTGACTGGATAGACAGTGCTAAAAATCTTGGCGTAACCATATATAGCTCTTTGTCTTTCTATGAACATGTGACAAATATTTTCAAAGTATCATTCTTCAAACTCAAATCGCTAAAGTATCAGGTATCAGAAGAAATGAAACTCAGGTTAGTTAAAACTCTTATTTACCCCCATATCGAGTATTGCTGTTCGGTGTATTACAATTTTTTGCAGCAATATATAACAAACAAAAGTTACAACGTATACAAAATGTTTGCATGCGATTCGTATGCTGTATACCATATGGTGAACATGTCACACCATTTTTGTTAAAAATGAAGGAGCTGAATGTGAGGTACAGAGTCCAATATTTGATAACATGTTTTGTGTTTTTTAAGTTACTTAAACACCGTTCTGGCAGTTTTTATTCCCAAATGAATTGAAGTTACTCTCACCGCATAACATTCCGAACAAATTTTACTTTTAAGTTATTTGATATGTTCAATAAATTTGAGCTCATTGTCAATGTGAATACCTAGAAATTTAGATTAAGTCTCACTAAGTTATCACCAAATGACAGGTCATCAAGAGCACATCTGAATGATAAAATGTTTGTTTTAGTGATATTGAAGAATAGCAAATTAACATGTCACCACTCCTTGATTTTTTGCATATCAGTAGATATTGCATTGTGTATATCATTTTAGTTTTTGTTGTTCCACAATATCGTCGTGTCATCAGCGAAAAGAGTGAAATTTTCAGAAATTCTCAAATTTACAATGTCATTGACATATAAGGATAAGATGGGTCCCAAAACTGATCCTTGTGGATCACCACACAAAATTTCTCTTTTTTTTTCCGAAAGTCCTGTTGATCTTACCATTTGATTCCTTTCTGAAAAGTGAGATTCAAACCATTTGACTGCCATTGATCTGCAGCCCTATTGGAGATTTTTACTTAGCAAGATCTTATGATCAACGCAATCAAACGCCTTAGAATGATCACAAAAGACTGCAGCTGCTACATTACCAGAATTGAACTTTGAATAAATATCATAAAGAAATGAAAAGATGGTATAGTGCGTATTTTTATTGCTTTGAAAATCAAACTGGGTTCTACTCAAGATATTGTTGTCTTGTAGAGAACTTTGGCTATAGTTGGAATGAGGGAGATCGCGCGTTTGCAGTGCCTCAATTGGAAGATTTCGAATAATTTTTATGGAGATTCCATCATAACCAGTTGCATTTTTATTCTTTATATTCCTCAAAATGTCTACTAATTCGCTAATACTCTTATCGTACAAAGTTAGATTATCCTCAATTCGGACATCTTCAAGATTTAATAAAGGATCGTAAGGTACCACTATATTTTCACTAAGGTTTTTTGCAATCGAATAATAATCAATTAAAAAAACCCGCATCAAAATCCATTGCGTAGTTTTAAAGATCTTAGCATACATAGGAACAGACAGCGGGAAGCGACCTTAGTTTTATTCTATTTATAGTGATTTCAATTCCACTTTTTTTATCTCATAAATGACGTACTGTAAAAACGTATGTTTTTTAAATTTTATTTAATTATTAATTTTCGACTTGGCAAATGTATGCTATCTATCGCAAATATAAATATTATTATTGTTATTGGAGTATTCAAGAAACTATCGGACAAACATTCGTTGTTACTTTCATAGTACTCCTAGAAATGTATCTTTTCTACTCTAGTATGAAAGCTGAGACTTATTTCAACTTGGGTTTTCAGATATATTTTTTGGAGGAATTACATTTTGCACAAACAATTACATCAATGAAATGTAGGAAGGAATTACAATCTTTATTTAGAATAAATATACAATATTTCAATTATCATCGAACGCCAAAATGTTTTCAAAACAGTCTATGATGTGTTTGCCAACATCATAAGGGCTAACGACGGCAACAATATGAAGAGAAAGTTGATCATCGAAAACTCCATCACAAAATCACTAACTGCTCCAGCAGTGGTGGCCACGACAGCTGGTGCTGCTGCCGCTGCTGCTGCTGCTGCCGCTGTAGAAGCAGCTTCACTAACACTTTCTAGCAGCAGAAAAACTGTTAATAAACCAATCCAAAATAATTTACTAACCTTGATGGTCTGAAAAAGAAAACGAAAATTTTAGTTTGATTAACGTCATGAATTGTCAAAAAAAATTCAACTCAAATTTCTGTTTATTCCTCTTACATTCTAGAAAGGGTGATTCTGAAGACATGAAAAATACTGATACTGTTTGATCTTCACTAATATCGCCGTTTTGAATTGAATATTTTCAAATTTATCCGAAGTTGTTTTATACTTCAAACGACAACAGAATAATATTTCATTATCAGGTATTATTTTGAAAAAGGAATATTTTTCCTACATTTTGATTTTCGGTTGAAGGTTTAAATTATTGTCTCGACTTGTCCATCTGGGTATATCCCTCTTTTAAAAATAATGGGGATCATTACTCAGAACAGGATACAAAAGAATATTGAAACAAGAAACCCAATATTTTTTTAAGGAATCACGCATAAGATTACATTCATCACAAATGACAGTAATTTGGAGATATCATAAAGTAACTCACCATATTGAACGAATCCTTTTTTTCTGGTTGAATTTGGTAAAAACTTCTTCAAAAACTTTCGTAACTGACAAACTAGCACAATCTGTTTGCAAGATTCCTTGGAAACAGTAATGAAAAGACAATACAAAACGAAATATGACGACCTGATTTTTCACAAAAGTGCCAATTTGGATATGTTGACATATACCATGTGTCCCAAAACTATCTAAAACGAACGTGAGGGTGAGCTTCTGTCAATATTCTAGGTAGGAAGGACCAATCTCCACTTTTATTACGCCACATGGGTATATGAAAATAAGAGTGGAGAATGAACTTTTAAGTACTTTGTTATTCACTACAAAAAAGTAACTATGATAGGAAAACGTGATATTTTCAAAAATAAAGTTTGTGAAGAACAAATCGTTAGGTGTAGTTCGTGAAATTACTATGGATCTTTATCAAGTAACGGCCGAGAAAAATAAATGTGTGACTTGAGAAGTACGTCTTCTGTGGCGTATTTCAGAAAGATGCTTTACCATGGCTGCATGGTAGCTCTACCCACTAGCCCAGGAGATGATCTCCTGATCCTGTCAGCCGATTTGTCGCTATCTAAGCCGAAATGTACAACTCTGAACCTTTTGGTTCAGGGTGCCCACTTCAATGACTGCGGTAACCTTTCCCATATAAGGGCATCTGTAAGTCAGCTATACCTGACTAGGTATTCCTTAAATTCCGCTTTGCATGAATCATCTGAGCATAATAGTTTGCAGACCTGCGCAAGGAGCATTCATTTTTCTCTTCTGGTGCAGATTATACTTCTGCTGCTCACGAATTTGGTGCAGAGCAGATTCATAAGACTTTCTGCTTTTGAAGAGGCTACTTAGTAGCCAACTATCCTTCTTGGTTTATTAACAAGACTTGGATAACTGGTAAGTTCTTGCTTTGGATCGTTATAGAGAGGAATTGGGCTCGTTTGGTTGAGGTTCATCTTCTTTGTAGACACAGAGTCGGATGCTAAAGTTACTCTGGGGTCCTTGGAGAGTACCACGAAAAGCTACCTTGAGGAGGTCCATCATGGTAGAGCGTTATATTACCGTGAGTAGGTATTTCGCCCGGTTTTTCTCGAAAGTTTCGTTAGGCTCAGAGTCCTATATTCTTTCGGCACGGATACACATACCATAGGTGAGCACCATGAGTGATCCTGCCATTTCTTTATCCAGCGCAACAAGCAGATATCTGGTAGCCAAATTTGCCCACTATCTCACATCACATCTAAGAATCATTTGAATTTGAAATGATCAAAGAAAAGTCCTTCAAACATTTACGCATGAAAATTGCAGTAAGTTTGTCAGTTCTGAAACTGTTCACAGTATTTCTATAAGAAGCAAAAAAGTAACTGCGATTTTAGGATGAAAAACTTCAAAGTTCTTATGCGCGTATCCAAGCCATTGGCTATTTTCAAATCACATATACTTGTGTCAATATACATCAAATGGATCCAATCATACATTTGCAGTCATGCCTTTGCTCTCATAGTAAGCTTTTTGGATTTAAGACTGTCGTATTAATAACTTTCTTCCTGGCGTTTCGCTAGTTCACTCAGTTAGATTTTCCAGAAGTGTTTCCATCTTCGATTTCGAGAGCAAATGAAATGATGGAGGCAGCGGCAACACAATCGGCAATGTTGGTGGTAGAAATATCTAGACGAGGCGCAGGGACCCCTCTGAACCTGTATGTTAACGAGGTTGCGTTACTGGCCATGTTACGATTGCGCATGGCTGGTGTGAGCTTCCAAATAGGAATGAGTCAGTTGAGGCTAAGCCTATAGCGAGAAGCGGTTACTGCGCAACCTCTGCTGCAGGCAGCCAGTGATGCAATTGAACCCAAGTTTGTATTTAATAAACCCTACAAAATACAAATAAGACAGACCACAGAATCAGATGCTACAAATGCAATACGCATATATACAGACGGCTCGAAAATCAAAGAAGCCTCAGGATGTGGAGTTTACTCCAGATCAGTAAGCCTAAGGATTAAGTGGGGAATGGGAAAAATTACCAGCGTGGTTCAAACAGAACTGGCTGGTATCTCAATCGCCACAAAAGAAATAACCAGGAAAGGAATTTCTGGCAAAAACATAACAATCTGCATTGACAGCAGACAAGCCCTATTAGCCTTGAACAGACAGCGTATAACCTCAGGACTAGTACTAGATTGTCACAAAGATTTAGCCAAAGCCTCGGTAGATAATAACATTATTCTAAGGTGGGTTGGAAGGCATGGTAGGGGTAAAGGTAATCGCATTGCCGACCCTTTAGTCAAGGAAGCGGCTGGACTAAGAATTTTGGGACCCAGTTACATCTACGGCCTGATGACTTCGACAATTGCGGAACTAGCCAAACATCACAGCCATGCTCAATCGTTAAAGAGATGGGATGAAATCAAAGGATGCAGTTTTGCCAGGATCACCCTGGGCAAACCTGGGAAGCTGGTGCTGAAGAAATATCTGGCGATGACCAGAAAAAAAAATAGGATTTTTTACTGACCACTGTCAACTAAGCAAGCACCTCCATGATATGGGGCTAGTTGATATACCTCTATGCAGGATGTATGAACAGGAAGATGAAACTGTTAGGCATGTCTTATGCGAATGACCGAAGTTATCGTCAATAAGAGAGTGTGTGTTTGGCAAGTCTTGGCCCACACCTGCCCATATAAAGGAGATGTCTTCTAGTGACCTATCCACCTTCCTGGAAAGGACAGGTCGGACAATGAACTAGGAGACCAACTCCTAGGGAGGATGTACAATGGGTCACATGTGGCCTAAGTGCTGTCGGCCTACTACAGATACAGATCTAGACGGGGCGCTGTGTGCTGTCTTCCTTCTATCAGGGATTGGGTTCTGTATTGGATTGAACTCCAGAGATTCTTCTTTCCCATTGAATTTGTCTATGAGTTTTTGAATTTTTAGCACCTACGCACTGGATGATTGGGATATCCCTAGGCTGGCGCTGGAGTTCCTATTGTGGTCCATCATGATCATTTAATGCAATAAGAAAATAAATGTTTCGAAATTGAATCTCGAAACGTTCATCCCTCAGAACGTACGAGTTTCTTCCCACTGAGCTCAGATACCTATAGTGTATACAGTTGTGTTTACTGCAGTATACATAAACCGTGTTTTACTAAATAAATATTTTTTTAAATAACTAACAATAAAATATGTCTGACAGTGATAATTTAGAAAGTGAAAAGCCTCCTGCGAAGAAAGCAAAATCACACTACGACACACTATCAAGTCATCAGTAAGTTAATTATATTTTTATATTTCATAATTAAAGTGTGCATTTATATCTGTGCATTAAACTCGCGTATGTTTGGTCTGCCTCAAGGGTCAGTAAATGTAAACTCTACTCTCTTGGTAACCATAATTGAGACTACCTCCGACATCACACATCGACATCAATAACAATTCTTTCTCGGTTTTTAAGAAAACAAGTTCAATAATGGTGATCTATTCAAATCCAGTTGGTCATTCATTAGAATCTTATTAGTCAGTGGGCTAATGCTTGAAGACTGGCAATAAACAAATCTAAAGAAATGAACTTTAAACGTTCAAGCCAGTCTCGATATACCTACACAGTAGGTTCAATGGAATGACTCCTATCAGAAAACAACTACTCCCCTGGCTAATACCACGAAGGGCGTTAGATTATATCCGACAGGCGTCAGAACAGGAATCTTCACAGAAAATGTCCTGCATATGGAATTGGCAATACAACTAAAAGAGTCGACCTTCAATTTTGAAACGGGCACACTTGCAGACCGGTTTCGGGCTCATTAGCCACTCGTCAGTGCAAGATAGTGTTCCATACCGCCCTTCGCTGTATACCCCTACCTGGCTGGGGTGAGATGGATGAAGATATTATTCATCCGTTAACGGAGGACATAGGGGCCTCATGCAACAGAGTGTCGGGGCCTTCTATATCGGGAGGGGTCATCTACAGCGTAATCTATAGCTTCCCTGACTAAGAATTGAAACTCGGAATTCTTTCAGAGTATTTCATTCCTCTTCCTAAGTTGGAGCGAACATCACAAATGTCACTCCATCTAGTGGACGAGGTATTAACCAACTGCATATCCGTAATTTGACCGATTCCTCTGAATAAGAAAGAAAAACTTTTTTATTAGTCAGAGGGCTATGCTTGATTGTGGAATATCATTGACTTTAGGTCGATGATGGTCACTATCTACCACTGACGAGTGGCTAAGGAGCTCGAAACCGATCTGCAAGTGTGCCCGGTCCAAAATTGAAGGTCGACTCTTTCAGTTGTATTGCCAATTGCATATGCAGGAAATTTTTTGTGAAGATTCCTGCACTGACGCCTGTCGGATATAATCCAACGCCCTTCGTGGTATTTGCCAGGGGAGTAGTTGTTTTCTGATAGG